CGAGATTTGGGCTTTAAAACAAGTACAAGATCATGTTTCTAGCATCTGTGGTTGATGAGTTATAGCCGTTCAAAGGTAACCATTCACACTTGCGTTTCTTTTGGTAGCCACTGTATAGCGTTTTTTGCAAATATTTCTACCCCCTTATTTTATCAAACTGCGAGAGAGGGCATTTGTCATCCAAAATATTTTTCCTATCTATCTAAATAGCATTTATTTATGAATTTATTTCCTCCTGCAGATGCTTAGCATCAAAAGAGCGATAAAATATCAGATTCATTTTTTATTCGATTATAAGCATATTATCAGAGGTTTATATAAGATTTACATCTGGCTATGTGCATATTCACATATATGTAAGGGATTTTCTGATAGCATAAATTCGGTTAAATTAGTTCAAGATAATATAATGGCTAAATTATTCTTAGATTCATTAATTAGAAGAGTATGACGTATATCGTATTATAGGAATCATCCTAGCTTTCTGTCAGTTTCATGACAGTTTTCAGACACTTCTTTGATGCTAGCTAGTCACTGAAATCACAAGATAATTGGTTAATCAGATTTCAGATTTTTTCTTTAGCCGGATAAGCATAATAGGAATTCAGGAAAATGATTATGAATAAAATACACAAGCTTGTCTGAGCTCATTAAAATTAAGCAGAAGCTAGATCAACATCTGGTAAAATTTATCTCCTAAAATAGTCGATTGTTAAGATATTTCGTAAGTCATTGTACATGACTATCTAATGGTAGAGTCTGGACACAGTGTCTGGGCTTGGCAAATTATTTTCCATGAAATTTGGCAATCCAGTTATACACATTTAAAAAATAAACCCCTGATATGAGTGGGATATGCAAATGCTTATTATATGTTTGAGAATACACGTAAACAAAATTCTTTTTTTTTTCTGGTGGTAGAATTTAGACAAAGTGTCTGGGCTTGACTTAATTGCGTAAAAGAAATGGCGTAGTATATTAACAAACCTTTCATTTTAAGATTTTAACCATTATATAATCCTTTTCATCCTTAGTTAGATTTAAGATGAAACCTGGAGGGGTAGATTTTATCCGTGCTATTTTTTCTTTGCCTATACTATTAAAAAGCTTATAAATCTTTTTGGATCTCTCCATCTTTTTTCGCAAAGCTTCGTCAAAACATTTTGCCTCAAGAATCACTTTTCTAACTTCACTTTTGATTAATGCTTAAGATCCATCCTTACCATATTTGAGTTTTAATTCTTTATATCATTTAAATACAGCTTTCCCAAAATCAAAATAACTGTAAATAAGACCTTGAGATACAACTTCATTTTAGTTTCAGTATTATCAATCTTATTGGAGAGTTGCAAAAAAATACTGGTTGCGCTTTCATTGTTTTCTTTCAAGTTCTCTCCAATAGTGGGAACAGGTGTATCAATTAATAATTCTTCAATAAATTTTTTTAACATAGACGATACCTTCTTTTCACCAGTCTTTTTCGCTTTCTTGTTAGAGGATTTTTCCATAGAATGAGTATCTTTACATTTTTTGCCCTTACTGCTTGAGAAAATAGAGGTGGATTGTTCAGGTTGAGTTGATCTCAAAGGAATACTTTCTACTTCTTTACCATCATCATCTTCCTCTGGCATTTCTTCTTCTTCATTTACACCCACGTCAATTTCTTGATTTAGTACCTCTTCTTGGATTACTGACGAATTCATCTGAAGTTGGTTGTTCATTCTCCTAATTATTAATAAAGTACTTGATTGAGACGATACAGAAAATCTTTGTTCAGTGATCACAAGCTTAACGATCGCAGTACAATTATCGATAGGGCAGTTATTTTGTTGAATAAGTAAAAAATTTTCTCAATACATTCTCTATGAAAAATATGACCACAGCTAAGTACTGTGAACGTCTTGATAGAAAGAATTAGGATCTCGTTATTACATTCTGAACATGGTCCCAGCTCTGGAACTTCCATGTCTCTAATTGATTTATTCTCAAGATTTTTTAAGATATTATAAGCAAGATTCTTAAGACTGTTTAAAGATATGATCTAATACAAAACATATGTGAGACACCACCATTATATTCAGTATTTTTATAAAAAACATTTCTCTGCAATTAATACTACGATTGTTGTAAAACATGAAAGTCTTAATATCCAATAATTTATTGATCCTAATTTTTAAAAAATAAACCTACATTAGTGCATGCTCTTGAACGATCAGCAGAATATAGCATATAGGGATAAGTCATTACTGGTTAAGAGATTATATACAGTATTAAAATTCTTTTATTTGCAAAACATTGAAATAAAAAATGTTAAGAAGAAAAGCAGATACATGATGATATTTCTATGCTAATGGCTTAAAACTAAATATATTTTTTTATTTTCGTGCATGGCTCAGTAAATTCTTTTGAGTTAAAAATCACTGCTTTAGACTGCTTAGCTTAGAAGAACAATCATCTTTTTATGAAAACTCTAGCTCCTGTACCAATCTATCTAATGTTAATTTAAGACTAATTATATAGGCTTCTTGTCAAAATTCAGGTGCAACCCCTGCTAGAAATACCTTTTTAATATTTTATTTGCATTTTCTATAATTTCATCTAAACTTTCCATATTGTACAAATTGATATTAAATTCCATATTTTACTATATGAGCCTATATTTTTAATCAAAAAAATATTGTTCCTTGATTTTTTTTTAGCCATACCTCCTCTATTTCTTCAGATAAACTGGGCTCAAATGATTTAGAGAATGACATAGCATTATATCTCCTTGTTTTATCGAACTGTAGGAGAGGATATTTGCTATCTAACCCTTCTCTTAGAATCAAATAATAAAATGCCTCTACTAAATTGTAAAATTTATTTGGAATATCAATATTATTTGAATATTTTCTGATCAAATCTATACCCAGATAGAACCATTTTAGCTAATGCCTTAGTCATTGACATTGTATCCTCTGCATTTTTAAAAAGTTCGTACAGAATTAGTACTTGTATAAGATCATCAATATATCCTCTGCTATGTATATCATAGACTGGATCATGCTAAAAACTATTATTAGATAAATGTTCAACTATCATCTTTTTTATAACTGAATATTTATCACATCAAGAAAAAAAAATAATATAATTATGTATGTGATCCGACTATTCATCACTATCTAGCTTATGTGGGTGAGCTAGATATGTAAGATACACATCCATTTTGATATTTCTCTGAGAACTTGGTCTTTATAGCTCTTTTTTCAGCCTCTTCATAGAAGATATCATCTTTGATTATATTCTTATAAATCATAATATGTCAATACCCATATGATAAAGTGGTTATTCTATCAGATAAGATCTAACGCTTAGTATCTATTAGGCAAAGAGCTTTTTTCTCTGTCTCAATAAGGGATATTATATGATCTTTTGCTCAAAAACCAATATTCTTAGCATGGAATACTTTCTTTCTAAAGAGGCAATCCCGATATACTTAGATCAAAGGATCGAATATCTTATTTTTTAGAATAGGATCATCTAATAAAGACCTGTCTAATGATGGTAGTATGTATCTGTTGCCATTTTATTCATATCTCTCTTACTAACACTAGTTGAAATCAAAAAATCAGATATGCGAAAAATCAGCCTAAATTTAACCTAAATTCAGCAAATTATCAAAAAATTGGCCTAGCCGATTGGCATACATTAAAAATCAGCCAAGAATTGACTGAAATTTGACCTATCTTATTTATAGCTGATTGGTATACTTATTGCCGATTGGCATACATCAAAAATTGGCTAAAATTTGACCCATCTTATTTATAGCTGATTGATATCTGATTTACATTCGATTGATATACATTAAAAATTAGCTAAAATTTGACCTATCTTATTTATAGCCGATTGACGTTCGATTTACATCTGATTGATATACATCACAAATCGGCTAAATTTGACCTATCTTATTTATAGCTGATTGACGTCTGATTTACATCCAATTGATATATATCAAAAATAGACTAAAATATTTCAAAATAAAATAAAATTCATAAGGAAATATAACTGATATTTAGGATTAACAGCCAAATAATGCTAAAAACATCCAATTTATTTTTACAAATGGTATT